CAATCTTTCTTGAGTTTAACAGGCCAATGACATTGAAGTTCGTCCGAACTCACATGGAGTTCGCCTGAACCTACCTAGTTTCTGGATTTCTCTTTTTGCGATGAGCTCTAATCTTGGCCGTTAGATTGTCCTTATTTCCATGCACTATAAATACACTTTGTATAGTTTTTTAGAAGTTATAGAGAGGAACACAAGTGAGACATAAATCTAAAATTAGCTCACCAAGAACACCATCTTTCTCCATTGTAATTCTTCCTCCATTGAAGATTAATACAAGCTCCAATCTCCCCAAAAGTGGATATAGCTCATTTTGAGTGAACCACTATAAATCTTGTGTGTTTTATTTTTTTCATTTAATTGGTTTCTCATTTCAACTTGCATTGTTATTACAATCAAATTCAAAGTCCCAAAAGGTCCTATTTCATAACACTTTTGATGAAAGATGTTAACAACCTTCGACACAACTTCCAGGTTGTTCGTTCAAGACATATCTATAGATAAGGCAATTGAGCTGCAGACTATGATGCTTCCTTGGGCCACTTTATATATGTTAAATCATCAAACTATAGGCTCTGTTTTAGATATAAGTAAGTAAATTTCTTTTTCATCTTTGTGATAAATTGGGATTTGGGATTGAATATTCTTAAGAGGAGACAACCCTAACTTTTGTTTACCTTTCTTTATCAAACCAAACAAAAATGATGCACTGACCTAAATTCCATTTTGTCCTATGATGCAGTGACAGATCTGTCCTATGAAGAGGCAATCACCTAAGGTTCAGGGACTAAAGGCACAACTTTAATTTACTTTTAAATCTACTCCGTTAGATTAGCTAGGTTGTATAAGGTCAAGGTCTTGTTCTCCTCACCTTAAAATAATAATATTCAATTAAAATAATTTTAGTTTAATAAAAGAAAATTTTACTTATTAAAAATCAGTAACTTTGAACTAATATAATAGGGAATCAGTAAAATTAGTTTCAATTCAATAAAATTAATTTCAATTCATCAACAATAATGTGATTGAAATGAACTAGGCCTTAGACCTAATCATGGGCAGCCTGGCCCAACTATTAAGCGGGTTGGGCAAAATTTTTCCAACCTCAAAATGGGTTGGGCCTAGCCCAAATTTTTTTTTGGGCGAGTTTGGGCATTGCACTTTTACGGTTTTAGTGTTTTTTTTTTTTGCCCAGGGCGATTTTTTCGGGTTTGGACAAGCATTTTTCGACTCGAAGCTTGGCTCGGCTCGACCAAGTAGGCTAATTTTTGCATCTAGGCCCGGCCCCGCCATTTGATCACCACCACTAAATTTCTACTCCAAAAAAAAAGTACAGAGTAAATGAGGTAAATAATTAGAAACGGAAAGAGTATATGTGATTCCATTACAATGCATTGTAGTTTGAGATTAATGCATAAAATGGGAGTATGTGGGTATTCGGATACAAGTTGCATTTAGATGTGTAACTTTGGATATCCGAGTTGGATTTGGTGAAAATGGATCGAGTTATGTGAATTTTAAAGTTGAGTCGATAAGTCACACAAAATAGTTGCATTTAGAGGTGTCAATTCGGATGATCGGATCGGGTTCGGTGAGGTCGGATAGGGTTTGGTAAGGTCAAATCGGGTCGGGTCGGGTCAATTTTTAAAGCTAAGTCATGCTAAATTATTGTGTCTAACTGTCCACGCGAGTCAAAATCTGAATCAGATATTTTTCGGGTCGGTTTGAATCGGGTCGAATTGTGTGTGGTTTTGACACTTCTAGTTGCACTGTAAGGTACAGGATCCAACGGTTTTTGTTTTTTCTCTTCACAACACCATGCCACATAGTGACACAACCGGTCAACCACCGCATTTCCTCTCTTCCTCCTCCAGTTGACCATCGCAACTCTCCCGATTGCCACTGAACTCCGCGGCTCGAATCGGTGATCTCTTTTCTCATCTCTCATCCCCGAAAATCATTCATATTTTTTCAAGGTTAGTTTTTTTTTCTTTCTTTGTTTAATTAGTTCTATAATTATCAATTTTTCACTCAATTATATTATTTAATTCAGCGCCTTTTTGGTGCAGCAGGCCACACCGTGTGGCCTGCTGCCAACTCAGCGAAAATAGCGGGATCTGACGCGTGCATAATAGGGTTAGTATTCACACGCATAACAAACTGAAATCTATAAAAATCTCCAGCGCAAATCCCTAAACCCTAAAAACCCAAAAAAAACACATTAATAGCGGCGAACAAAATGAGTAAACAAACTCAAAATTTGAACTCGATTAAATCGAGTTAAATCAAACAATTTTTTTTCCAAAAATTCAAGTATTACAATGATAGAAGAATCGCAAAATTTACCAGGTTTACAAGAATTGACGGAGATCGAGCAAATTGGAGATTCGTTAATGAATCTGGAAATCGAAACCAGAAATCAAGTATTGGATCTGGAAGATGAACACAGATACAAACAAATCAAAATATATGATCTCAACAATGAATTACAAGGTAAATAATGTGAATATCAACCCATGTTGTATATTTACAAGTAAGCATTGTATATTAACAAGTAAACCCTGTAATTAATAAGTAACCACTCTAAACAAGTAATCCCTGTATAGTTTAATAAGTACCCCTGCAAAACTATAAGTCCCTCTGAATATGGAACAAGTATATACTACCCATGCATAGTAAGCTAATAAGTAACATCTATTTTAACACTCTTGTAGGTGTTTCCTCACTCGAGACATAAATTATGTATTTGGCATCTCATAAAAAATGTTGTATTAAGGTTTGGAGCTCTAAAAAGAGATACACCAATCAAAGATGCTTTCAACAAATGCCTTTCTGGATGTGTGATGATAGAGGAAGAATTTCAGGTAACCCCTATAAGTAACCTCCTTTAAATACAAGTAACCTCTGTATATTAACCCCTTTTAAATACAAGTAACCTCTTTATATTAGTAAGTAACACATATATATTAACAAGTAACCCTTGTTGTTTATTAATAGTAACCCATGTTGTTTATTAAGTAACACCTATATAAGTAACCCCTTTAAATACAAGTAACCTCTGTATATTAATAAGTAACACCTACAAAGTATGTTATTTATTAACTAGTAACCCATGTTGTTTATTAAGTAACACCTATATAAGTAACCCCTTTAAATATAAGTAACCTCAAGTCAGTAACCTCTATATATTAATAAGTAACACCTATATAATAACAAGTAACCTCTTTAATTAACAAGTAACCCTGTTGTTTATTAACAAGTAACCCTTGTACTTAACAATTAACCATTGTTGTTTATTATTAACAAGTAACCCATGAATTGCAGACATGATGAGATGATATGATTGTCAAATACAAGCTTGAAAAGAGTAAATGGTTCAAAAGGTTGTATGGTTTGAGATAAAAATGGTGAACAACTTTGAGTCAGGACTTCTTTTCTGCTGGTATCTTATCTTCACAGAGAAGCGAAAGTACGAATTATGCAGTTGGGTTTAAAGAAAACGAAAACACAAGCCTAATAAATTTCTTTAAAATATTCAATCAAACAGTAAATAGGTGGAGAAAAGAACGAGTCTGATGCTGATTTTAAATGTGCAAACTCCAAACCAACTTCAAGTTTTCCCTTTTTTGGAATATTGAGACATGCATTAGAAGTCTATACACAGACAATTTTTAGATATTTTGAACAAAATACATGTACTCAATTGGATACTTAACCTCTCTTCATACTATTATGGGAAATTTTTACTTTTATGAGGTACAGATTAAGTATGATGAATCAAGCAGATAGAAGGTTACATATGATAGTGGTGAAAATAAAATAAGCATGTTGTTGCAAGAATTTTGAAGAAGTTGGTTAGCTGTGTTATCACTGTTTAAAGATCTTGCAGCATCATAATGTGACAAGAATACCTACATGTTACATTTCTTCAAGGTGGACCAAAATAGCAAAAGCACATGTGTGGAAAAAAAAGAGATGAAGATGCAGCAGCAAATGAAACTCATACAGACAAATACATGCCTTGGCGTCACATAATGGCAAGAAGAAGCTACAACATAGTTCTAAAATGTCAAGAGCACAAAGAGACACACAAATTGGTGGAAGAACATTTTAAAATGATATAAGAGAAGGCAGAAAAATTTAAAAAGGAATTGGAAAGGAACAAAGAGAAGGAAAATTTATCTGATCAGCAGGAAACTTCACCTGATTAACAAAATGAAGAAGAGGAGATCCCTGCAGTCATGGATCCAGAAAGAGCAAACACCAAAGGAAGAAACAAAAGAATAAAAGAGCGCTTTGACAAAGGGAAACAACCAAAAGCAAAGAAAACAAAAGCAATGCAAGCTAAAGGAAACCACTAGAGAATTTGGAACCATGACTCTAGTTCAAAACCCAAAGTTATTTTAGTACTAGTTATATTTACGTACTTTATACTTTTATATTATTTAAAGTTTTGAATTAATGATTGTTATCTGATACATGCTTCTGAATATTTATATATTTATATTATTTGAAGTTCATGACTGCAATCTGTTACTAGTATTTGAACTTGAAGTTATAACCCCTCATATAAGTAATCCTACAAGTAACCCCTCATGCAAGTAATCTGAACTTCTGTTACAGCTCATATAAGTAATCCATTATATAAATAACCCCTATCAATAACTCCTATAAGTACAAATATCCCATATATAAGTGAAACCCTTACAAGTAAGCCATCATACCCTCTCATATAAGTAATCCTACGAGTAACCCCTTATGCAAGTAATCTGAACTTCTGTTACAACTCATACAAGTAACCCATCATATAAGTAAACCCTATTAATAACTCCTATAAGTACAAATATCCCATATATAAGCGAAACCCTTAAGCCACCATACCCTTATAAGTAAAGTAACTCATGTAATAGTAACCTCTACAAGTAATGTAATAGTAACCTATACAAGTAACCCCTATAAAAAATTATATGGGTTATTTAAATAGGGATAACTGGGGTTACTTGTAGTGGTTACTTATATGTTTTTTGTTATTTTCAGAGACTCTACATTTCGAAATATTTGGTTTTAAAAGGCCATGATAATGGAGAATGTGTCAAGGATTTCAACATTCATATGATTCCACTTGACTCTCAAAAGTGCACTGTTGAGACCTATGATTGTGGAGTCTTTTGTTTGTACCATTGTGCCACGTATGAAGGGAAAGCATTTAAATGTAAAAGTTTGACTCAGGTACATTATTATTACTTTTCATTTATTTTTATTTGTTACTTTTGTGGGAGTTACTTATTACTTAATTTTTCACTGTAAATATTAATATTTTTAATTTTTTTAATTTTATATTGTTTTATAGGCATTGGAGAGACGTCGTTTTAGAGTAGAAATTTGTGCATCTTTGGTGTTACGTAATTTGAATTTAAGACGAGATGATGATTTTAAAAGTGTGAAATATTTTAGTGAGAACAATGAAGAGATTTATGTTGAAGTCAAGCTTAATGAGAAAATAATCATGACTAATAAGATGGTTATGATGGTTGAGCAAAGTAAGAAGGCTAAGAAGGCTAGTCGGTCAAAAAGCAAAAAAAGAACTTCAGCAAAGGGTAAACAAGGAAAAAAAAATTATTTTCTGAACAGTGGAAGATGATGAAGAAAGGGCAAATAAGGAAGAGGGTGATTTACTGCTTGTTGCAACTATTGCAGCAGAGAAAATGGCAGAACATGCCAAGATTAAGGCTGTTGCATGCTGCTCCTAAGCGTCTTACAAGGAAGAAGAAGTAAGGTGTCTTTTGCAAAAAAATTCAATTTGTAATGTTGAACAATTTATGTTTATATGTTGATAGAGTTTGTAATGAAATATATATATGGCAGTCTTTCATTTTTATGGCAGCCTTGCATTTTAATTACTTTGGCAGTTTTGCTATATATGTTAGTCTTTCATTTTTATGGCAGTCTCGCATTTTTATTACTTTGGCAGTTTTGCATCCATACAATTAATAAGCAACTCCCATATAATTAAATCATACAAGTAACCACTACAAGTAACCCTAGTAATCCCCATTTAAGTAACCTATACAAGTAACCCATATAATTAATAAGTAACTGCGTAACCCATACAAGTAACCCCATACAAGTAACCCATACAATTAATAAGTAACTCCCATATAATTAAACCATACAAGTAACCGCAACATAAATAATTCCAAGTAACACACAAATAAATAACTTGTATAAGTAACACCAACATATATGTAACACCAATAACACTCATAACTAACATATTAAACAAAATTATAAACAATAAATAATCTAGTAATCAGCTCACATATATATTTTAACAAAATTTTAAAACTTACCAAGTACCACATGAGAGTATAACACTCAGTGTGAAATGAATCAAAATTTGTTGAAATTTTGAATTTTTTGTTAACTTCTACATGCATTGAATAATTTCTGTTGTCCAAGTAATCAACAGTCTAGTTGATGAAGTTTACGACAACAACTGAATAATGTTTGTCATAGTAGATTGGTATGAATATCTAGAAAAAACAAAGCAATCAGCTTAAGTAACCTCTACAAATTACTTACGTAACCTCATATATATAAGTAACAAAAGAGTGATGAAGAACACATACCAACACTGCATCTAATAATTCAGAACATTGAACTAATTTAGTCCACATATCCCACGCTCCAAATACTTCATTCTCATATATGCAGCCTTCTCCATTATAAATACAGCACAAAAGAGGCCACTATAAATAAATAAATAAAGTATAAACATATTGATATAGAAACATAAATAATAAAAAATTTAAAGTAATAATATACCATATGTTTACCACTAAAAAAGAATCTTGGATTGTCATTATTTTGTTTATTAACCTCAACATAGTTGAGCAGGATAAAAAAAAACAATCCAAAATACAACTTGAAATCATTTTCCTCTCTAACATTGTCAAAAATTCTTCTCGAGGTAAATTGTAGAATTCATTAAAATACACTAAAACCTCCCTATTTAAGCAAAAACAAAAATTATGTAAGTAAACTTTATAACACTAGATATTAAATATTTATCAATTCTACAAATAAACATATCGGATAAATATGTCAATCAGATAAGTAATCCTTGCAAGAAGTAAAACCTTGAAGTAAGCCCTAGAAGTAAGTTCAAATAAGTAACCCCAAAACCCCCATAACCATCATATAAGTAAAATATATAAATAGCTTCAATAACTCCAACAATAAGTAACCACTACAGTATAGAAGCAACATATATAACATATACAAGTAACCCCAATAATAAGTAACATATATAAGTAACCCCATTACAGTATAAGTAACATACATAAATAACTTCAATAACTCCAACAATAAGTAACCACTATAGTATATATAGAAGCAACATATATAAGTAACGTATACAAGTAACCCCAACAATAAGTAACATATATAAGTAACCTCACTATAGTATAGAAGCAACATATATAATTAACATATACAGGTAACCTTAACAATAAGTAACATATATAAGTAACCCTAACAATAAGTAACATATATAAGTAACCCCAAGTAACCCCCATACAAGTAACCCTAGTAACAACCATATAAGTAACACATTACATAATAATTAAACACAAAACTGCTGGGTTTTACAGTGCGTAAGCACTGTGCGTCCGTGCGGAACCAAAACCCGCCCCAGACTACATGCATAAATTAATACGACTAAACTAAACATGCATATAATTAATAAAGCGATAAACACATAAGAGAGAGAGAGAGAGAGAAGGGTAAAGACGATCATACCCTTGATGAGTGATTCCACGTCACTCGAGCAAGAGCCTCGAACGGAGCGAGAACCTCAAGCGCGGATCCTCTAACGAAGTCCATTCGCGCGCCCGAAACTTGGTTGGTATTAACGGCTAGGTTAATACGCAACACTAGTAACAAGAGGTACTCCGAGGGTTTTCTCATGTTTTATGTGGAGATGCCCTTTTTGAGTTTAACTCTTGCAATTCAATTCCCAAGGCAAGCTTGGGTATTTATAGAAGAAAACATCTCCATCCCTTTGATATTCTATCTATGTGGGACTTTGCAAAGTTGAGAAAATAATGCAATTAATTTAATTCTAAAATAAATTAAAAGCAACAAGAAAATAATCAAACAACAAGTGGCAAGCAAGTGGGAGAGGTTAAGGGAAGACCACATGGTCTCCTTCCTCCCCAAGCCACCAAACCCCACCAATAGCGTGCGGCCAGCTGGCACCAGCCTTGAGAACCAAGGCAACCCTTGCTGACAGCCTAGTGCTCTGCTGGGCCTACTTCCGCAAGCCCACATGCGGGCTGCTGCTACGTGCTGGGCGCAGCACTCGCTAGCGAGGCCTGGCGAGCTACGCCAGCTGCTGGGCCTTGCTAGCAGTGCTGCTGCAGCTAGCACTCGGCTAGCACGCCTAGCAGCATGCACTCGGCAAGCATGCCCAACTAGCACGTACGCGCGGCTTGCTGGGCTTACGGCCAGTGCTAGCTTGCGGCAGCCCACGCTAGCCTAGCCCTCGCATGGCTAGGCCAATGCGAGGCTACGACTATACGTTTTGACTTGATATTTGTTGTTTAGCTTATTTGCACGTCTCGTCGGTTCCTAGAATCGACTCGACGTTTGACGTTCGGCTTCGACGCTCTAAGCTCGAAATCCGAGGTCGGAGTACGTAATCTCTTGTTTGACGTATTAAGACATTCGGCTTAATTCGTCGACTTAGTATGGTTGCACCTTGGGTGTGACCCGTTGGGTTCAGTTAAAGGAAAGCTGTGAAATTAATATAACTAATCTCACTAATCGGAGATGGCCTCTAGCCCGACTTTTCGATCACTTGACTTCACTGAATAATTAACTCCGTAATTGATTCTAATCCCTCTATCGAAATAATACACTTGTTCGAAGGACACCATTCCTTTCAAAAACAGTAATAAAGAACTTACGACATGGGCACTCCAGGATAATTATGATCAAAACAGTAATCTGCAACCATTAGCCTGTAAACTACTCATTGTTGATACTCGTTTGCAGTTAAGCCTCATAATTTGATATTAACTGTAATTTATAAGCACCATGTTCACCATTGTTAATATTAAAAATAATTAATTAGCTGTATCATCACAATTTGGATTCTTCTCACCATCAGGCACGCCAGCATCATCAAATATTTTCTTAAGAATCTCCATATATTCTTCAAGAGTGCACCAACACACATATGCTAGCATCACTTCTTTCCTTTCTCTCTTTTTTCCCTTTGCTTGAGTGGAAGGCTTTTTTTTAGAAGGCTTTTTTTTAGGAGACTTTTTTTTTAGGAGTCTTCTTTTGGTATCTACTGCCTTTTTGGAGGGAGGAATGGGTTGATCGGAAGAAGTAGCAGGATCAACAGGCTAATGGGAAGAAGTAGCAGGGTTAGCAGATAACTCTTTGTGAGAAGCAACAGGATTATCATATCTCTGTATTTCTCTAATCTCTTCAAGCCATTGTTGAGTTGAAAGATGAATGACTTCTTGAGGAATAACTTCTTCAGCATTTTCCAGAGTATCTTCTTCAAGATTTTCCTGAATATTATCCTGAGTTATTGGATTAAACTCCTGGCTTGACACAATAAGCTTAGTTGGAGCTATTTCTTTACTTGAAAGCGTAGCCAGAGTTTCAAGACTTTGAAGACTTTGAAAAATATCTTGACTTGTTGCAACTTCAAGATTCTCTTGACTTGTTGAAATAACAATGTCTTGACTTGAAACAAGAGGACTGTAGAGAACAATAGCCAGGGGATTAACTTTAGGAACATCAGAAGTTGAAGGGGAATACTCAATAACAGGCGCAACAATACCAGAAGTAGAATGAACATCTGAAAGTGCACCAACAGCAGAATGTGCACCAACTACTTTTGCATTTGATGATTCAGGAACATCTGAATGTGCACCAACTTGTACATCATCAGCAGCAGATGTTCCTTCTTATGCAGTATCAACTTATGCATCATCTTTAGGAGCAGTACTATGAACTTCTTCTAGATTAATATATTGCAAAACATCTTCAACAACTCATTTATCATGAGCAACACCCAATGAATCATCAAATATAAGAACCTCTTTAGGTTAAATTAGTTGAGCAGCAACATCTTTAATTGTATTCTCAAAACCATCAAAAGAAAACTGACTTGCAAGTGTTTCATTTTCAGGATCAGTACAAGAAAACAAGTTGAATGAAGGCATTTCATCTACAAGTAGCCCATAAAACATACAAGTAACCCCTATAAGTAACCCCTACATACAAGTAACCCATAAAACATACAAGTAACCCCAATTCAATTAGAAGTAATTCCTACAGGTAATCTATAAAAGGCTAGGTAACCCCTTACAGCTAACCCCAAAACAAGTAACCCCTACAAGTAAATCCTACAAGTAACCTAAAACAAGTAACCTCAAACAATTAATGTAACTTAGCCCAAAGTAACCAACACAGATAAAAATATATAAGTAAATACTTTAAACATAAACCATACAAGTAAACCCTACATACAAGTAACCCTAATTCAGTTAAAAGTAATTCCTACACGTAAAGTTAAAAGTAATTCCTACATGTAATCAATAAAGTTCAGGTAACCCCTTACAGCTAACCCCAAAACAAGTAACCCCTACAAGTAATCTATATATAAAAGGTCAGGTAACCCCTTACATCTAACCCCAAAACAAGTAACCCCTACAAGTAAACCCTACAAGTACCTGACTAACCCCATGTAACTCAGCCCAAAGTAACCCCATGTAACTCAGCCCAAAGTAACCCCCTACATACAAGTAACACATAAAAACATACAAGTAACCCCAATTCAGTTAAAAAGTAACCCCTATAGGTATCTCCTACACGTAATGTCTAAAAGGCCAGGTAACCCCAGCCTACAAGTAATAACTTAACAAGTAATCTAAAAGAAAATATACAAGTAACTCTTATCAAAAGTAACAATTACCAATCCAAGTAAAAAAAATAAAAACAGGTAACCCAAATCCAAGTAAAAAAAATAAAAATAGGTAACCTTAATCCAAGTAAAAAAAAAAAACAGGTAAAACCAATCCAATAAACCAAACATACTAAAAACAAAAAAGAATAACTCACATTCTTTGCAATTTGACGAATTTCTTCATTTGTTTGAACTTCAGCAGGAATTTCAAATAAAACAAAACGAGAAGAACAAGCAACATCAACATTATGAATA